GAATGGGTCATCTTTTCTTCAGTGAACACAGAGCTTTAAACTCAGAAGGTACCATATACACAGATACAAAAGCTGTTCTTCTTGTTTGTTGTTTCTTCAGCCACACAGCTGCTGAAGATTGGTTGGTAGGGCACTGGACACGCCCTGAAAGGTCCTAGGGTCAGATTTCAACTGTCTGATTTTTGTTCAAATTTTTCACTGTGATGTGATATGTATGGCAAAGAAGGAGCATAGTATGAAATAAGGACACAGGTTTAGAGGCCAGGTGTGTGACTTACCGATACACTCCAGATCTGCATCCCATCAGTGTAGCCAATCATAAGACAGAGGGGAGGGTCAGTAGTACCACTGTGCAACTCCATAAATTCTGGGTTGCGGGCGGTGTCTGAGCAAAAGGAAACATTAATATTTAGAAGATGTGCTGAATCATCGCACAAGGTTTTCCCTACCATAGTAAGGCTTAGGTGCAGCACCTAAGTGTTTTTGCAGAGAGCTTAAGTTGAATGAATGTAAAAACAATGGTGAGTCATTTGCGTTGAAAAATAACGGAGTGGTGACTGGTCTGGTCTCAAAATGAAACATAAGCTGCAACAGGACAGTCCCAGCTTGTGACTTGTATGTGTTACATACATCAACGTTAACTCGAGGAATTAAAAGGATGACAGGATAAAATCAAATTCACTGTTGTTGATTTTCTGACCTCGCTATAGCCAGTGGAGAAACATAAAACACCACTGGCTGTTGTTAGATGAAGATCGTTTATAAGGTAGACAGGCATCACTCTTAACACCACTGAATGATTAGAGTGAACTGAGTGAGACATCACTGGTAAAACCATCAACTGATCTCACAGCATGGCAGTGTAGCATATTCTGTGAGATGGTGTACACACAAATGGTAATGAAGATAAATGGTCTGTCATCTTTTGTGTTATATTACATAAAAACAAATCCTGCACTTTTGTTAGCATTTTGTTTGTTTTTCTCAAGGTACTGCTACATGGGCAAAGGAATACTTTTAGCTACCTCCACAAAGAATACATCAAGTAGACTATAATTTTGTTGATGAGTAAATCTTGTGAACAGTAGCCTAATAATAGAGATAGCAGAGTAAAGTAAAAAAAACTGCAAACATGACAAAGTTAGA